TTTCCTCCCATTTATACCCTCCACCCTGCAACCCCCCTCCCACCATCATCATCCCCCACCTTAGTTCATGTGTGTGAATCACACATACGAGTTCTTTGGCTTCTCCGTTTCCCATACTATTCTTAACCTCCCCCTGTCTATTTTGTACCTACCAATTATGCTTCTTATTCCCTGAACTTTCCCCCCATTCTCCCCTCTCCCCTTCCCCACTGATAACCCTCCACGTGCTCTCCATTTCTGTGATTCTGTGCCTGTTCTAGTTGTTTGCTTAGTTTGTTTTTGTGTTTTAGATTCAGTTGTTGAAAGCATGAACAGTAAAATAACAATAAGTCACTTTCTTTTTAATAGACGCTTGAGCTCTTTCCAGCCGCTTCCTACGTCAAGGAGTGCTGTGCTGGATAACCTTGTAAATACTTCATCGGATATGTATTCGGATGACTTATCAGCTTTATAGAGGGCAATTTGGCACCATCTATAATGTCATAAATGCATCCTTTGACCCAGCCGCCCTCTTTTGTGAGATTTAGCGTATCTATACACACACATCTATATATTAGGTCCATATACACACACACATATATTAAGTATATATACATTCACATAGTCCCTTTTCTGTTTATGTACATATACTTTTAATTTTTTAATTGATTTTAGATAAAGAGAGGAAAGGGGGGAGGAGAGGGAAACATTGATTTGTTGTTCCACTTATTTATGCGTTCATTGGTTGGTTCCTATACGTGTTCTGATCGGGGACAGAACTTGAAACCTTGGTGTATTGAAATGATGCTCTAACCACAGAGCTGCCCGGCCAGGGCTTATTGACGTATATTGGAAACCACGAATGCATAATGACATACGCAGTTCAACTCCAACACCTCTCATTTGCTCCATTGCTGTAATTACACCCCCTTTTTCCGCCAGTGAGAAACCTGACGTCCATCTTCCTTCACTTGCTCTCTGATCAGTATCCCGGTGTGTTCCCCATTCTCCTCCTCGGCCCCCACCCAAACCCTCGCCACCCAGAGTGGGTTTTCACACCCTGAGCCCGTGGCCTCTCTCCCAGCACTAACGCCCCCCTCCCTGGGCCCCGCCCGAACTTGGGAGCGTTCCTTTGTGCTGAGCTGCCCCACAACCGGATGCCCTCCTCACCACGCTAAGGGTCCGACACCCCATTCTGGGCCACTGTCCCCACCCCCACCTGGAGCTGGCCTTCCTTCCCCACCCAAGGGCCCCAGGACGATGTTGTTGGGGAAGAAGAGGAAAGGGAAGAAGAACGTGTGATTCCATCTCATGCATTTAAATGAAACGTATCAGTGTTTTATGGCTTGTGGGTTCTGAGTTCAAAGGTTTTTCTCATTCAGATTGTAAAGGGACTTTTGACGTTCGCAACTTGCTCATCCGTTGGTGTCATATTTTACCCCGAAATCTTTGCTCCGTTTGGAGTCTATTCAGCTTATTTTTTCCATTCCTTCCTTCTATTGAGTCAATGGGGTTTTCTTTGTTTCCTCATTTTTGTGTTTATTCTTTTTATCAAAGTTATACATGCACACGGCAAAGTCACAGAGGGCTATGTGTTCAGTTTAAACTTCCACATCCTGCCTCAGAGGTAATTGATTCCTGTAGGAGTTAACCACAGCGGCAAATAAACTCTGAAATATCAGTGGTTTAAACTACTGATTTTTATTTCTCCTTCATGTAAAGTCTAGTTGGCAGAGAGGCAACGGGGCAGAGAAAACTCAATGTGCAAAGATATGTAGATCAGTTGCCTCTCACACGCCCCAAAGTGGTAACCTGGCCGCAACCCAGGCACGTGCCCTGACTGGGGATTGAACCGATAACCCTTTGGTTTGCAGGCCAGCAAACCAAAATCAGTCCACTGAGCCACACCAGCCAGAACTCATGGGTTGATTCTTGGATGTGCCCTGACCAGGGATTGAACCTATGACCTTGGCGGACGTGGGCGATGCTCTAAGCAACTTAGCTACCCAGGCAGGGTTTAAAGTTTATTTTTAAAAACGTCTTATTTATTTATATTTTTAGAGAGAGGGGAAGGGAGGGAGGAAAGGAGGGAGAGAAACATCAATGTGTGAGAGAAACATTGATTGGTGCCTCTTGCATGCCCCCAACCAGGCACCTGGTTCACAGCCCAGGCATGTGCCCTGACTGGGAATGGAACCTGTAACCTTTCGTTTTGCAGAAAACACCTAATCCACTGAGCTACACTAGTCAGGGCTAAAGTTGATTTTTAAATAACCAGCACCACAGCCCTGGCCGAGTGGCCCAGAGGTTGGAGCTCAGGCCCATAACCAAGGTCTTTCAGGTTCAATCCTGGCCTGGGCGCATATGACCCCCTGTACAGGTGTGAATGGGAGGCAACCAATCAATGTTTCTCTCTCCTTTCCTCTCTCCCTTCCTCTCTCTAAAAGCAATGAATGTCCTCAGGTTAGGATTTTTAAAAAAATCAGCATCACACCAGAATAGGAAGACAAAATAAAAACACAAAACACACACACACACCCCCCTAACTAAACTAAAAATAAGGACCAAACAGGAAACACCAAGGGTTGGCCAGCAACCAAAGCCCTCCAGCACAGGTTGCAGGGAGATTAATATGACAACTGTGTATCTGCTGATCAATATATGCTAAAGCTGGGCATGCTGATAGCTTTTGTCCTAAAAGCCCCAGTTGGAACTGTCCCTGTGATTTATACTAAGAAATATATTTAGCACAGAGCTCCAAAAACCCTCGGAATTCCCTAAGTGATAAGAGTGATTCAATTCCCTCTCTGCGGTCCGGGGTAAACCCAAAGGTTCCTGGGCGGGAGAGCGGGTGGGGGTGGTGAGGGGTTTGTGGAGATGATGGGTTCACCTGAGACGCTGTACCTGGAAGCCGGGCAGTAGCCTCAGCTGTGTGCGAGTTTCGGCCACGCTCCCAACTTTCAGTGTGTGGGGTTGTGGCGCCCCCTATTGGTCCAGAACCTCTCCGGCCCTGCTGGCCCGACGGTTTGACCACGCGACTGTCCTATTTAATCCTCCCAACGAGCCTATGAGTGAGGTGCTCTGATTATCTCCATTTCATGGATGGGAAAACTGAGGCCCAGAGACAGAGTCACTTTGCCTAAATCCACTCAGCTATACAACAGAACAGATAGGTTCTTATATAGGTATATGCTCTGCAAACATTTTTTTTTCTTCTTAGAGGTCCCTTTAACTTTCCTCGTGGTATTCCTTGGTGGTGTTGAACTCCTTTGGCTGTTTCCCAAGAGCCTCAATTTAATCTAATTGTCCATTACTTTTCCTTATAACAAGGAAGATATGTACATATGTAAATATTTTTTATTATCCTATTTTTATATGCTAGGTGTTCCTGCATAGAACATATAATTGATTTTGTTAATATTGCTTTTTATTTGTTGATTTTTTTAATTTTGTTTTTAGAGGGAGGGGAAGGGAGAAAGAGAAACATCAATGTGTGGTTGCCTCTCACACGCCCCCTACTGGGGACCTGGCCTGCAACCCAGACACCTGCCCTGACTGGGAATCGAATCGGTGACCCTTGGGTTTGTGGGAGATGCCCAACCCGAGCCACAACAACCAGGGCTTATTTACATTCTTGATTAGGCCATTAACTTAGAATCAGTATTTAGCACTCACAGTTAGACTAATCTGTGTGGGGTTTTTTGGTGGAAGGGAGGGACTCATTATGAATTAATGTTTTTTTTAGAAACCAACAAAAATGTTCACATCAAATGCAGTACTGTTGGACATGATGAGTGAAATGAAAGCTTTTACATTCAGAAAATCAAATATCTAAAGTGGCTTTAGTATATGAATACAAAAATATTTTTGTAAATTTTTCAGAATTCTGATTACTAGATTAAATGTAAGTTCACATTTTAGTTCTTTCACTTAGTGTATATTAGTTATTCTCAAATGAAGAACGTCCTTCAGCACGAAGAGGACTTAAAATATTTTGAAGAAAATCAATTTTCTGAAACCATGAAGTCCCCTATGTATGACAGAATTAAATACATCCAATCTTTACAGATATTCAGTTTCTCACAGAATTGGACATTTTTTTTAAATAAAGCTAGAAAATCATAAGGCAAATTCAATTGTCAAAAATATGAGCAACATTATAGCAACAGCCTTTGTTCTAAGCATCTAACATGGAATAATCCATTTAATGCTATCAGGCCTTAATGGATGAGTACTCTCATTAAAAAAATGAGAAACCAGTCCTGGCTGTTGTGGCTCAGTGGATGGAACACCAAGCAGCAAAACAAAGGGTCCCCAGTTCGATTCCCAGTCTAGGGCACATACCTGGATTGCAGGCCAGGTTCCCCATAGGAGGTGTGTGAGAGGCAATCACACACTGATGTTTCCCTCCCTCTCTTTCTCCCTCCCTTCCCCTCTAAAAATAAAATCTTTTTTTAAAAAAATGAGAAAACAGCCTCGGCAGCGTAGTTCAGTCAGGGTAGAGCATCGTCCCCATACGCCAAGGTTGTAGGTTCAATCCCTGTCAGGACACATACAAAAATTAACCAATGAGCCCATAAACTAAGTGAAATGATAAATCAATATTTTTCTCTCTCTGAAATCAATTTTTTTTAATCACAAAACTGAGGCTAAGGGAGGTGACCTCACTTCCCTTCCCCAAGGTCATAGTTATTAGGAAATTCTTTTTGAAATAGTCGCTCTCTATAACGTGTTATCTGAAATGTGAATATATATACCCCCAAATTCCCTTCTTCACCCTAAGGGTGGCCCCGTGACTGCATGTACAGTGGGCCTGTCCCCAGGCTGGGGAAGTCGGGGAGGCGCAGGTCAGCAGGGGAAGCAGTTAAGTCCAATGATGAAGCGGAAGCATCTCCCACGTCAGAGAAACCGCCAGGGCGTTGTGAGCGAGGACTGAAAATGAACACACCAAGGACCGCAACTCCAGGTTGGGACCCTAGCGTCCCTGAGTTGCTGCATCACTGGAGATGAAAGCTAATGCCTTGGTTTTTGGTATTTTATTTCAAAATTGCAGCAAGAAGAGAAAAAAAAAATCAAGGGCAGCACTTGGGAGATCCAGCCTGAGAACAGAACGGAGAGAGGTGCGGAGTCGGGGCCAAGGAGTTTACTTGACCCCTCAACACACAGAGCAGCGGGGAACCCAATCCCCCAGGCCTGAGAGACAGAGCTATGGGCCCAGATGCCTGGGTCGGCCCTTATGGCTTTGGGAGTGTACCGACCACGAGGGGGCGCCAGAGACCCAGGTTCGGGCCCCCCCGGCCTTTTCCTTATTGCACTTGAGGAGAACCAGTGGTGGAGAGGTGGTGATGAACCAGCTGGGTTTAGATGCTACAGGCCGGTGGATCCCGCAGTGGCCAGGCACGGTCCGCAGCGTCACACCGGCAGCATCCACTCGTGGGCTTTTCCTCCATACTGCAGGGCAAGGGAAGCAGAGCGTGAGAGGGCAGTCCCACTGCAATTCCCAGCAGGCTCTGGGGCATCCCGGGCTCAGTGCAGGCGGAGTTGCACCCCAGGCCCTCCTAGGAGATGCTTCAGGGAGGTGTAGGGCTGCAAAGGAGTTATTCTAAACCCCTGAAGGCTCTTGGAAAAAAGCACTGGAGAAACCTGGGCAGTCAAGAGAGGAGAAGTTGTAAGACCCAATGCTTCTACCGAGTTTACAGAAGCTCTAGCTCAAGTGCCAGGAATTGAGCCCCGGCATTGCCCGGAAAGATAATCTTGGCTCAGACGAATGGAAATAGTTCCAGAGGCTCATGAGAGGAAACAGCCCTGGGTCTAGAGGCTCGTAGCAGAGACTTCTCAGGCCAAACAGATAGCCCAGGGCTCCAGGGGAATCCATGGGGAGTGGACTTCTGCGGCCAGAGGCTGCCTTAAAGTTCCACAGGCTTGTGGGAAGGGGGTTTCTCTCACCAGAAGGACAGTGGGGGTCCACAGGGGTTCGGAGAAAGGGGTTTCTCAAGCTAGGGCTACAGAGGCTACAGGAAAAGGCCACTGAGCCCCAAGGGGTATTCTAGGCCACAGAAGCTCAAGGCAGGCGGACTCAGGCAGGGGTCCAGAGGCCGATGGGAGTGTCATTATCATCTGGTGGGACTACTGGGGGGTGGGGGGGAGATGAGCTCTCAGTCCAGAGGCTCATGGGACGTGAACTTCTCTGGGGAACCAGCAACCAGCCCACCTCCCAGCAAGTGCACCTCACCTGGATGGCCTTCAGCTCCTTGTGGAAGCGGAGGATGAGCTCGGGCCCGTTTTCCATGGTGGGGATGTGGAGGTCCTGGGGAAGAAGCCGCATCCCCGTGGTGAGGCACGGGCTCCTGCCCCGTCTCCTCTCCCGTCTCCTCCCCCATCCCCAGGGGCAGCCCCACCTCACCTTGCCCTGGTACAGGATTCGATTCACCGGGCACACCTGGCAAGCGGTGCCGGAGCCAAAGACTTCGAGAACACGGCCCTCGTCCAGTGCCCGCAGAAAGTCCTTCATGGTGATCTTACGCTCTACCACCCGGAACTCACCCTGCAGGGCGAGGGGCAGTCTTGTGAGCCCAGGGCACTGCCCTGCTGCGGACACCTGCCTCTCCCGCCCTGAGGATGGTGAGAAAGACAGAGACCCAAGGGGTGGGGGACAGACACCCAGAGAGAGGGGGACGGAGACAAGCCAGTGTACCCCAGCTCCCACCCCAGCCCCCAATACACTGGCCCCCAAGAGAGCAGGACCCGGACCCCATCACGCCCTCACCCAGGTCCGAGCCATGTCCAACAGACTCTGTCTGACCACTCCAGGCAAGATGACACCGTCCAGCGGGGGGGTCACCAGCTCCAGCACTGGGTGGGGTGTAAGGGATGGGGGTGTCACTCACACCCTTGTGTGCTCCCTCCCATTCTCTTAGGGAGCCACCTCACTCCAATCCCTGAGGGCCGCAATCTGCGAGGAATTAGGTCACTGACCACTTCCATCAGGGCACAGGCGGGGGCGCAGCAGGCTCACCCCCATCCTCATGGGTCCAGTGGATGAAGATGTTCATGGTGCCCACCTCGGTCAGCTGATGGTCAGGCCCGTACAGCCAGAGGACCTGTTCACAGCCCTTATTTTTCGCCTCCTGCTGCAAGAACACTGTGGGCCCATAGTTCCTGGGGAAGGGCAACATGGTCGGTGAGGGCGAGCCGACCACAGCACAGCCCTAGATGGGTCCTTCCACACCGGGGCTGACCCTGCTCCTCGCCAGCGCACAGCCCTCTGGGGCTCCCAGCACCTCTGGGACAGGGTTACAGCTCCTCGGTCTGGAGTTCGGGGCCTGGCCTGCACGGGACTAACTTCCTTCCCTGACCACGTAGGTGACTCGGCCCCTCCCACAGATTAGAAACTGTTTACCATCGTTGTACCCAGGAAACCATCTCCTTCCCACCCTTAGGACTCAGCTCCTCCGTGAACACTCTGCAAATGCTCCAGTCGCCTCCATCAGAAGTTGTGCTGCCCTGGACACTGGGGGTCCCCCCTGTGGGGGGTGGGGGCGCCCTGGAGGGCCGGGCGGATCTAACTCATCTGCAGACCCCCCTCCACTCAGCGCGGGGCCTGGGCCCCAGGACACCCCATGCGGTGTGTGTTTGAAATGACCTGAATAAACTCCCAGCTGTGACCACACTTGCTACCCCATTCTCCGCCCTGATTGCCAACCAGAAGCCCCTCCCTGCTGCCCTGAACCAAGGCCGCGGTGAGACTGACATACAGAGAAAGATCAAATGCAGGGCCGAGGGCGCTGGAGGCCCGAGGGCCTAGGAGAGCTGGGGAGGGGGGCGAGCCTGCGTATTCAGGGGATGCTACTCCGGGGCGGTGAAACCAAGGAACTAAGTGTGAACTTTATTTCCGGAAGCTTCCCAAGGGACCAATACCAGTTTCCCTACTTACCTCCACCCACCCAATCCCCCCCTATCCCCCCCCCCATTCCTCCCCCACCGCCCCCCGCACATCCCACATGCGCGCGCACTCACCACCATGGCGCCAATGACCTCACATCCCAATTTGTGGGCAGAGCCATCCTCAACCATGTGAATCAGGACAGGGAGGGCAATGGACATCCAAGACACAGCCCAAAGCATCGCACTACACCCAGTGTCTCTGACGTCCAAGGGAGCAGCCCAGCAGCGTGAGGGCGGGACTACTTACCCCCCCAGCTTGCAGTCTCCGACCCCGCCCACCCAGGCGCGGATGAATGCTGGGTCCGCCAGGAGGGAGACAGGGTTCAGAGCGTCTCCAGGGAAGTAGGAGCCCACAGGGCAGAGAATGACGGACAGAAGGGCTCTCGTAGATCTGGAGACCCCTAGCGAGGGCTGCGATGAGCAGAAGGGGGTCATCAGTACCCTAGGAGTCCAGGCCTCGCGCCCCACCCATGAACCGGGAGTCCGGGTCCCCAGTGCTGCCCTTTAGGATTCCCCCACCCCAGTCTGGTTCCCTAGCCCCACTGCCTCCCGGCACTGAGAGTCGGGCCCACCTCGTTCCCAAGGAACAACGGGCGCACGTAGAGGCTGGCGCCGGGGCTGTCCGGAACCCAGTCCTTGTCCACCTCCACGAGCCGGCGGATGCACTCCAGGAACTCATCCTTGTCGAAACTCTGCACGGGACTCAGACGCGTCAGGGGGGCCCTGGCAGCACCCCTCGCCCTCCCTGCCCAGGGCGTCCAGAGCCCCTCACCGGCAGGCAAAGGCGCAGGGCGGAGCGCAGCATACGGTCCATGTTGAGCCAGGGTCGGAAGAGGCGCACCTCCCGGTCGCTGCCTCTGAACGCCTTCATGCCCTCGAAGAGCTGCGGGGATCACCGCTGACAGTCAGGAAGAGACAGGGAGACGCAGCCTGATGCCCAGGCATAGGGGCGCAAAAGCAGACACAGCTGGGGAGGGATGGACCCGCTGGACACACGGAGGGAGAGGGGGAGAGAGAAAAGAGAGACCCAGAGAGACAGGACACAGACGATCAAGAAAGCAAAGGACAGAGACCAGAGAAAGCAGAACAGAGCCACCCAGAGATGGAGGTGCTGAGAGAACGTGCTGCTTAAGGTGTCTCTTTCTCAGGACTGCTGATGGCGTTGGAGTTATGTTTTTAAAGAATCTTTGTAGCCCTGGCTGGCGTAGCTCAGTGGATTGAGCGCGGGCTGTGAACCAAAGTGTCGCAGGTTCGATTCCCAGGCAGGGTACATGCCTGGGTTGCTAGCCACAGCCGCCAGCAACCGCACATTGATGTCTCTCTCTCTCTCTCTCTCTCTCTCTCTCTCTCTCTCTCTCTCTCTCTCTCTCTCTCTCTCTCTCTCTCTCTCCCTCCCTTCCCTCTCTAAAAATAAATAAATAAAATCTTAAGAATCTTTGTGTTACCCAGGCTGGTGTGTGGCTCAGTGGACTGAGCGATGGCCGGCAATCCAAGGGATTGCTGGTTCGATTCCCAGTCAGGGCACGTGCCTGGTTTGCAGGCAGGATCCCCAGTAGGGGGTGCATGGGAGGCAACCACACATTGATGTTTCTCTCCCTCTCTTTCTGCCTAGGAATAAATAAAATAAAGAGCCCCTGTGTTTTAAAGAAACCAAAATAGCTATACGTGAGATAATACAATGCCCAGGATTTGCTGAAAAACCCTACAGAAAGGAGGAAGTCCAGACTAAACAAGATGGTGACCAACCACCTTAATTGGTGAAGCAAGGTGATGGGGGAGGGGTGGGGCAGGTCCTATCATTCTGCTTTTATGTTTGAAGTTCCTCATAATACAAATGCTGTTAAAAAAATTAGAGAGAGGGGAAGGAAGGGAGAAAGACAGGGAGGAAAACAGCCATTCGAGAGGAACATCGACTTGTTGCCTTTTCATAGGCTCGGCAACCAGGACAGAACCTGCAACCCTGGCAGGTGCCCTGACTGGGAATCCATCTGGCAACCTTTCCCTTTGCAGAACGATGCTCCAACCAACTGAGCCACACCGGCCAAGGCAACCCTCAAAATTCTTAATGGAAAAACATGCCTAATGTCACAGAACCGTACCCGAGGGAACAAAAATTACTCAGCTACACACCAGTTACTAGAGCTGTACTACGTTCATTCAAATCCTTACAACTACAGCTCCCTGGGAAGACTTGCCTTCAGCCATAGATTTAAGTCACAAACCAAACATCACCTGGACCTCTCTCCTCACTGGCCCGCCACCAAGCCCTGCAAAGCCGACCAGCCTCCCGAGTCCCCATGCGGACACAGTCCCATCGACGACCTGGTTACCTGACCAGACCTCTGGGCACCATCCTCAGCCCTCCCGTCCCGTCTCTCACCCAGCCGGCCAATCCCTCATGTCCCCAGACCTCTGTCCTGTCTCCTCCGATCCATCCCCCAGCTCAGGCCTCCAAGTCTCCCTATTTTCCCTGTCTGGACCTGCCCCCAGCCTGGCCTGCTGGCCTCCAGTCTCCGGGCTCCCGCTCATCCCCACATGTGCCCACAGGGGCTCCGCCCTGCTCACAGCCTCCATGGCTCCTGATGCCTTTTTCTTTTTAAGATTTTATTTATTTTTAGAAAGAGAGGAAGGGAGGGAGGGAGAGAAACATCAATGTGTGGTCGCCTCTCGTGTGCCCCCTACTGGGGGCCTGGCCCACAACCCAGGCATGTGCCCTGACTGGGAATTGAACCGGCCACCATTTGGTTTGCTGGCTGGCACCCAATCCACTGAACCACACCAGCCAGGGCTCCCAGCATCTTTGACAAGGTTCCAGCCCCTCAGCGGCCCTGATGACACCCTCAGCCTCATGCACCACACTCCAGTCCCACGATCCCCCAAAATATGGTGGGCTCTTCTTTGTGTTGTCTCTGTACTGGCTGTCCCCTCTCCCTCTGATGCCCTACGTTCCCCTCTTTTCTCAGACAGACCCCACTTTCTTTCAAGGTATTGGTAAAACTGGGTTCCTCTCCTGGCCCCCCACAATGCCTCAGCTGCCACCATCAGAGCACAGATCACCCTGACATGTAAACAAAACATGTAGTTTTCAAGCGAAGGAACTGGACCTGCTCAGGTGGGGGATCCCGCAGACCCCAGCACATGGCCCGGGATGTGGGAAGCCTCCGAAGACGGATGATGCACACACGGAAAGAGGAAACACACAGAAAGCAGACCCAGGGTGGGGGATGCGGCCACAGACAGAGCGAGAAGGAAGAGATGCAGAGGGAGAGACAGGGAGAGCAGCTGTCATGCCACCTGCAGTGAGTAGTGAAGAGCCGAGCAGGCTGGGTGCAGCGAGAAGTTCTGGAAGGGCTGGATTCGGGGCTGGCTCCAGCCCTTGTTCTCCGTCCATTCCACCAACAGCATGTGGTCGGTGAACGTCTTCCCAAACACCAGGGTCTCACCGGGGTCGGGCTTCTTATGAGGCTTCTGTGTCATTTCTAGCTGCAAGTCTGCAGCCTGAGAAAGAAAAGGGGACCCGGGTGTCCTGGAATCTGGACACAACTTCCAAACTGAAAACACTACAACTCCCATGAGTCCTTGGGGCCAAGACCCACAGGGAGGAGGCTCCAGTGGCTTCTGGAACATGCAGTTTCAACTCTTTCCCATAGCCATAAGGCAGGCAGTTAGACTACCTGATTGCCACCCACCTTGGCCTTTGAACCCTGGATCTTTTAGAGATTCCCAAAGCCCATTCCTAGCCCCCTCCTTCCCCAGATCCTGCAGTTCAGGCCTCCAACCCCTCTTTCTTGGGATCCAAAAGTTTAGTCCCCTCCTTTTACCTTGAAGCTGGATGAGGCATATCTTCTGGGCCCACACAGAAGCCAAGGGACAGAGAAAAGTTTTCGGGCCCAGATCTGGGGATGGGGACGGAAGAAAGGCGGTGAGGCCAGGAGACAGAGAGAGTGCCAAAGCCCTGGCAATGACTTCACCACCTCCTTCACATGGGAGGTCCCTCTGGCCTACTCTGTCCCAGCCCAGAGCACTCTAAATGGGGAGTACGGTCTGGCCAAGGCTTGTTTTTTTATAAACCCTCACCCAAGGATATGTTTTACTGACGTTAGAGACAGAGGAAGGGAGAGAGAGATCAGCCGCTTCCTGCTTGCACCCCGACCAGGGATGGGACCTGAAACCCAGGCAACTGCCCTGACCAGGAATCCAACCTGCAGCTCTTAGGTATACAAGACAACACTGCAACCAACTGGGCCACCCAGCCAGGGCTGGCCAAGTCTTTTGCTCTGTCCTGATTAGCAGGCAGCAGGAAGGGATCCTGGAAGAGGCCAAGTCCCTCCCTGTCCCCATGCGGGCCATCCCTAGAAAGTGCTGACTCCACTCCCATTCCCTCCTCCACGCGGGGCAAAGTCAAACATAGGCGCCTCCCACCACACAGAACTTTGGCCCCAGCCCTGAGACCGGTTCAGACAGAAGACGACAGAAGACGATGAGGGAAGGTACGCAGGTAAGTGAAGGCCTCTCTGGGGGACCCAGATTCTGATAAGAGCTAGAAAAGTGGGGGACCTCTAGGTCATGCTCCCCCAGGACCCAGGATCTATGTCCCTAGCCCCTTCTTCCCTCAGACCCAGGAATTCAGATTCCCAGCCCCGCCTTTCCTCAGACCTGGGAGTCCAGGACTTCAGCCCCCCTCCCCAGGCCCAGGGGTCCAGGCCCCCAGCCCCCCTCCCTCAGGCCCGGGAGTCCAAGTCTACATTCTTCCAGGGTATCAGACCCACTGAATTCGGATGACTTGAAGCCCCTGCCCACTTTGAACCCCAGTGATCCCAGGTCCCTTCAGATCCCAGGACTAAGGGGTAGTAGCCATGTGGACCTGGAGGCCACCCACCCCAGTCATCAGTGGACACTGTCCACATGAACACTTCTGTGCTCCTGCCTGAGGCCAGCGGGAGCAAGCAGGTCGGGCTGTGGCCAGCAGGGTGACCTCTACCCAGTGTTCATGGACCTCACAGGCCTCTTTCCCCAGCCCTAGGGGAAGACAGCTGGGTCCCGAGGCTGGGAGACAACAGCCTAGCCTGTTCCTGCCCATGAGCTGCATGAGCTGCCACCAACCAGTGAGAATGGATGTGAGTGGCAGCGGTGACTGGTCAGTAGGTGAGTCATGGAGGGAGGGAGGCTGCAATGTCCTAAAGTCTGGGCCACCAAGTCGTTGGAGTAGCCCTGGATAGTGTCCCACCAAGGGCTTCTGGCATGATTAGAGTGTTGCTCTGACACATGACCGCTAGGTGGCGATGTGTAGCCTGCATAAGCCTATGGCCACGCTTCTGTCAGAGAGGAAACAGAATACCCACAGCTGAGCAGAGACAGTCAGCGTGTTGGCAAGAGAGCAGCCTGCAGAGGGAACCAGATGGACAAAAATAAAAGACAGTAAGGTAGGGAAGAGCAAGAGTGAGAAAGAGAGACGTAGAAATAGAAAACACAAACTGGAAAGAAGACGAGACCTAGAGAATGCCAAAATAGAAATGATCGTAAGGAGAGAGGCCAAAACAACAGCTAAGAGGGAGAGAAACTCTGGGAAAGTAAGGCCGGGAGAAATCAAGGTAAGATACGGAAAGGGCGGGATAAAAAGGAGCCACGAGGGAGAGGACGAGGGAAAAGGCAACAGACGAAGACTGGATGCCGGCCACAGCACAGACAACCTGGAGAGAAACTGACTCAGAGAGACAGGCATCCAGGAGAGACAAAAAGGGGCAGAAAAACACCCACAGTGCAGAGAAGGGGCTGGTCCACGTTCAGATGGGAAATCTGCACCGGCCACAGAGTCCCTGTCGCACTGGGAGAAACTGCCTCCTCCTCCCAGGACATTTCTCTAGGGGCAGGAGTCTCACCTCAGATGACACCCCACCATCCGACACCCCAAACCATAGGGACTGGGCGCCAAGGAGACTCCTAGATGGTAGATGGGTGTTGGAACAAAGAGTGGAAAAGTAATGGGGATGAATTAAGAAACAAGGAAGGTTGGGGGCAGGATGTAGGCACAGGGCAGAGTCTCTGCTGTTTCATTACAGCCCAGGACTGTCCCCACCACAATCCAGGCCTGTCTCCCAACGTGGCCCGGGAGTGTCCCCATCAAAGCCTGGGGTTGTTTCTGTCACTGTCTAGCTAGCACTGTCTTTCACACTTCAGGATTGGCCCCCACATCAGAGCCCAGAGAAAGTCCCCATCACAGTGCAGTGCTATCCTTGTCTCACCCAGGGACTGTCCCTATCACAGCCCCAAATGGCCCCAGTGAAACCCCAAAACTGTCCTTGTCACAGCCCAGGACTGGTCCCTTCACATGTAGAACTGTCTCATTATAACCCAGGGCTCCCCATCACAGACTAGAACTGTCCTGTGACAGTTGAGACTCTCCACAGCCCAACCCCAGACCGTCCCTGTCACTGCCCATGACTGACCCACCACAATCCCCTGGAGTGCCCTAGTCATAGCCAGGCCTGTCTCCATTAGCCACTGAAACGCCAAGAAAGTAAAAATCCGCCCTGTTCTCCATCAAGCCGGATTAAGAGACCCAGCCACAGTCTGACTCAAAGGGAGCGGCAGAACACTGCTCCCAAGGTTATGCTGTAGCTGTCACGGGTTGTAATGACCTCCCCTTCTCAGAATTTTTACTGTTTCCTTCTCCACTGAAAAAAACTTGTTTTCTGAAATCATAGACTTCCTGCACTCTGCTGGTTGACGTCAAATCAGCAAAAATGGACTGTTTCAGTCTTGCCTGGAGCGTCTGTGTGGTTCTGACAATGCGAATCCGCCTCCATCTCCAACCCAGGTGCGGAGCTTTATTAGATAAGGGGTTTCTGGCACACAACTATCTTAACCTTTAGTTCCAAGAAAAAAAAGAACCTGGAATCCAATTCCCTATCCAGACCTGAGGATGCCCTCTGCGCCTACAGCCCACCCCCTCCCCTGTAGGTACTGGGGGCCTAGCCTGGCGCCCCCACAAGGGAGCTGGAGACTCCCTTCTTAGTCCCCCACCCAGTCCCGTGCCTCCCCCATAACTGTCCCCTCCTCCACGTTTCCCTTCTCAGACCTCCCGTCCTGGTCTCCTTCCCGCCAATTACCTCCCCGCACCCGACACCGCCCACCAAAGCTCTGTACTCCTTATCCACCGGGGTCCCCCGTGCTCCTCCGCGCCTCCCGGCAGCGGAACCCCGTGCCGAGGAGCGGCGCCAGGCCGGACGGGCTGCGCCGAGTGATCCTCCCGGAAGTGCGCCTGCCCGCGGGGGCTCTCCAGCCCCACGGCGCGGGGCCGCCGCGGACCCACCTGCCCCAGTGCGGCTCCCGCCATGGTCTGTGCGGCGGGGAACTGTGCCCGCCCCAGATTAAGGCGTCCGGCCCCGCCCGGTCCACGCCCCCTCGCACTGAAGGCCCCAAGATTCCATTATTACAGGGTGCCCTCGTGGAGAGGAGTCTGCTGCAGAGCGCATGCGCTAGAACGCACCCCCGGACTAAGAGCGAATGGGAAGACTCCCTCCTCCCAGCCCCTTCCGGGGTCTGTTCCAGTCCCGCTACTGCCGTTCAAGAGCTTGCACGCAGCGTTTTCAAAGATGCATTTTAATAGGTTCTGCCACACAGCGGGAGTGAGGAGAAGCAGCCCCTAATGAAATCGCCCAAGTCGGCCGTTTCTGCTGCCCGTCACTATCAGAACCAATAAGGAGAGACAAGGATTGAATCTTCATGGGCGCTTTATTCAGATGCTGGCGGTCTGAGAAGACGGCGGGTTGTGTACCCTAAAATCCGTCTTAACATCCCATCTCAAACCAGCCTCTTTTTTTTTTTTTTATTAGGAGGAGGGAGGGTAGGTGAGGGGTTTGGAGGGAAAGTTTAATTGGAGAAGGGTTGCAGAGGGGCAAGGGGGCGGAGGGGCGATCTTCCTAGTACTTCTTTATCTGTGAATCAACACTTCCTCTGTGTCCTGGACACGGCCTCCCTGGAACACCGTGGCATGCAGGCCCCCTGGGGCACAAAGTTTGAATTGCTTGTCAACCTCCTGGAGTCAGCAGGTCATGTATTGCAATTCCTGGAATAACAGCTTTCCTCAAGCATCGGTCACTGGAGCCTGCCAGCTAACTAACGCTAAAATCTTTAACTCTTGAGTTCCCGGATCAGTAAGAGAAGAAAGGCCAGCACCTTTGCAGATCTCCATCCTTTCCTTGGTGAAAGGGAAAAGTACACTGTACGTGGCGGTGGGTGCGTATCACGTAAATGAAAAGGGTAAGGACTTTGGGAAAAGGCCTCTGAAGAGGGTGGCCGGCAGGGATGAAGGGGTTGCAGGCAAAAACCCTGTTTGAATACAGTTTTTCTGTCATTTTTTAAGCCATAAAAACACATGGCTCACCATGCCTCCTTCCAGTCCTTTTCATGAATGGGTCCCGAAAATGGTCAATTCCCCAACTTATCAATGAGCCCGTAAGAATAGCTTCTAGAGCAAGGATTTCCTGCTTGCCCGCCTCCCCTCCCCCTTCCTGAGGGTTTCCCCAACTGCAGAACCCCCAGGAGCAGAGTCAGCCAATTGCTCCGCAGTCACTGTGCCGCCCAAACTTTCCGTGGCCAGAGTTCCCCCAACTCCTGCATCCAGGTTATTGTGACTCCAAACGATTGTTCCTACTGTATCCTCAAACTCAAGCCCAAAGCCACGATCCCTCCATAGACCTACTCTGGAAAGTTTTGTCCCCAGATTCTGTTCCCCAGCCGGAACAGCCACAGGCACAGGCAGTCAAATTCCAAACATTCCCCTAGCAGGGTGTCTCCCAGCTTTCATTCCTCCCCACCTCACCACCCCGCCAGGGGCTGTCGTGGAGCGCGGTGCCCGCAAGACTGCTTAGGCCCTGGCTGGTGTGAGTCCTCGGTCTGCGAACCGAGGGTCGCGGGTTGATTCCCAATTAGGGCGCATGCCTAGGATTCGGGGTCAGTTTCCGGTTGCGGCGTGCGAGAAGCAACGGATTGCTGTCTCTCTCACACCTCGTTGTTTCTCTCCCTCCTACTCCCTCCCTTCCGCTGTCTCTAAAAATAAAAAATGAACAAAAAAAGACTGCTTGGTCACGCCTCTGCCAATCAGCGACTGCCTCACCCCCCGCAGCTGCCAATCCACAGCAGCCATGCAGTTCCACCCCCACACCTGGGGGACACACCCCCCGACTGGGCACAGTGCCCCGGGGGCGGAGGCGGGGGCAGTCCAGAGTCTGCCTTCCAAAGCAGGGGAGACCGAGGTCCCCCAGTTTCCTACCCGCCCCGTTTCTTCCTCCCCCAAACCCAGAAGTCCCGACCCCCAGCTCTTCCTCTCTCTGCCCCAGGAGTCTCAATCCCCAGCCTCCCCGGCCCTCAGAACTTCTAGCGCCGGCCACCCTACGGCTCCACAAAGGGCCGAGAACAAACAGGAGGCCCTTTGGCTTCATCTCCTGCGTTATCTCCTAATTAGAGCCTAATTGACTCTCCCCTGCGAACCTTTTAACTGGGTCACTGGTGAAGCCAACCCGCAAACACTCTTCCCTGGGGCCCCAGTCGAGAAGCTCCTGCTGCAAGGTCTGCTGGGAGTTGCAGTCCCTCGGGTGGAGGCCAAGCTTAGGGCTAGAGTGGGGGGCATGCGGGGGCAGTGTGGACAGAAAATAAATGTAATGATGACCTCCTCCTTTTGGCTGCAAACTGCTTTTTGAAAAGATTTTATTTATTTTATTTGTTTAGAGAGGGGAAGGAAGAAAGAGAAGCATCAGTGTGTGGTTGCCTTTCATGTGCCCCCTACTGGGGACCTGGCTCACAACCTGGACACGTGCCCTGACTGGGAATGGAACCTACGACCCTTTGATTCGAGAGCCAGGACTCAACCACTGAGCCACACCAGCCAGGGCTGCAAATTGCTTTGATGGGAGCCTGTGGGTGGTTTGGCACACTGGTAAATGAGCTTAACATCTAGAGTCGGGGACTGGACCCGAGAGGCAGAGGGCAGAAGCTGGAATTTGGGAGACTGAGTTTGGGGTGGGAGAGCCCTAGTCAGAGGAGCCCGACTGGAAATGAGGGCAATCCGGAAGGGTGTCGGGGGCCTCCACAGGGGCTCCCCGCTTGGCCTTGATCCCATAGCCCAGCTCTGCACCCCCGGTCACGAACAGCTCACAGCCGGTGCAGAAGGTGGCTTCAGCGGCCAGGAACACCGCAGCAGCCGCCACCTCGGCAGGATTGCCCATGCGGCCCAGAGGCTGGAGAGAGACCAGGTGAAAAGGAGGTCACAGGGAGCCCTCTCCTGCTTGCGCGTACCAAGGGGACGTGGCCCCCACCCCTATGCCCGTCTCTACCTGGTTTAGTATGCCCTCCTGGATAGCGGTCTTGGGGTCAGGTGATGCGGCTGCCAGCTCCTGCCACATTGGGGTCCAGATGTTTCCTGGGGAGATACTGGGGGAAGGGAGAAGAGAGAATTGGGCGGGTCTGCCACACACACACTTCTCCTACTCTGGCTCACCCCCTGTCTTCCCACTTCCCCAAGGGGCCTCTCCACCCATCGAAGCTTCATCTCACCAGTTGACTCTCACACCGTATTGACTCTCGTCCAGGGCCAAGCCCTTGGTCATGGCTGCCAGCGCCCCCTACAGGAGACAGGGCCAGGGCGGGGAGAAAGTTCAGTCCCGGGAAGGTGAGGCTCCCCCACCAGCCCCACCCCCACGAGGGTCAGGCAGGGGCATCAGAATGGGAAAGTCATGCCCTCCCTGCAGGCTACCTGGGGATGCACCGGGCTGGCTCGTTCTCTCTCTCTCTAAAATTTTATTTATTTATTTTTAGAGAAAGGGGAAGGGAGAAAGAGAGGGTGAGAAACATCAACGTGTGAGAGAAACATCTATTAGTTGCCTCTAGCACGCTCCCAACCTGGGAGCTGACCCACAACCCAGCTATGTGCCCTGACTGGGAATCAAACTGGTGACCTTTCGATTTCCTGGACGATGTCCAAGCCGCTGGGCCACACCAACCAGGGTTACGCCTTATTTCTTGGGGGACACTTGATGCCTAACAACACGTCACAGGTTTTTATGCCTCGGGTCAGAGGCCCCTAGTGGGCCAGTAGGGTGGGAAGGAAGAAGCAAGGGGGTACCCCAATGGCCTACCTTAGTAGCCACGTAGGTAATTGCCTGAGACTGGGCAACGGCTCCCACCAGGCTGGTGATGTTGATGATATTCCCCCGGCTCTTCCGCAGGTAGGGGAGGGCGAGCTGGGGAGAGAGGAGGCGGAGTAAGCAGCCAAGGCCTGGGAGCTCCTCCAGCCCAAGGGAGCACACGCTGTCGTCCGGGACAATGGCCGCTGTCCCTGGTGTGCTCACTAGCTGATCTGTGTGATTTGCAGAGACAGCATCCAGAGTGCCCTCACTGGCTCAGCCCAGGGCCTCGGGTCTCTGGGTCTCAGCGCTTAAGGTGTCTCCCCCTGCATCTCTTCCACAGTCTGTCTCTCCCCCATCCTCTTTCTGCCCCATCCCCCTTTTCTGGGTCTGTGTATGTTATTCAGACTCCTGTCCACATTAAGACAGAAAAACACAACATGGCTGCCTTTTTTTTTTTTTTTTCAAAAATAGGAGGAAGCTCTTTTACCCCTGGAGGGGAAGGGAGTTTCTCCAAGTTTCAGGGAGAGCTCTGTGGTCACACTGTGGGAGGCTTTCAGGAAATGAACCCCATATTCTACCAACTACTCCCCTAAAACTCCCTGGCTACCTGGAGGTCCCTAAACGAACTCTCCTTCCCTCTCTGTCTCCCAGTTTTTTCCCTGTCCGTGACCTTGAAGAGATTCGAACCGTGTGTCCTTCAGCCCTTGTTTGCTCTAGGCAGCTGAGCTGCCCCTCCCCCCCCCCCCCAGGCCTGCTCCTGCCGCGAGAGATGAACACACACACACACACACACACACACACACACATACACAGAGACAGGCGCCAGCTCCCCAGGGGTTCTCACTCCCCAGGGGTTCTCACGAGCTGAGTGGGAGCAGAAATTGGCTCCCTCCCCGGCTCACCCCACCCCCGGCTCTTTCAAATCTTTTACTCTCCAGAAACAGCTTCCGCACCATTCTCCGTGCTGTCTGTCTTCAAATACACCCTGAGCGTCCCAACCTCAGGGCCTCTGCGCGTACTGTGCCCTCTGCCTGGAATGCTTATCCTCACGCAGCCATGCTGATCACTCCCACGGTGACCAGCCACCCTGGCTTGGCCAGGGCTAAGGGGTTTCTGAGGACATGGCACATCCAGTCTACAGTTTCAGTGCTAAAGTGGGACAGTCCTGGGTGAACCTACTCTCTCAGCAACTGCAAATCCCCTTCGGATGTTGCCTTCCCTGACCATCCGGTGTATTTAAAAACTGCAAACCGCCCCTCCCCCAGGTCCCCATCCCACTTCCTGATTCCTTTTCTCTGTGGCCCACATGCCGCCTGACATGCCGTTTATTTATTTTATTTTTATTACTTTTTAAAATCTATTAGAGAGACAGGAAGGGAGAGAGAAGGAGAGAAACATCAGGGTGAGAGAGAAACATCGACTGGCTGCCTTCCATATGCGCCCCAACTGGGGGCCAAACCCCAACCCCTGCACGTGCCCTGACTGGGAATCGAACTCGGGAACCCTTTTGGTTCACAGAACGATGCCCAACCAACTGAACCACACCAGCCAGGGCACCACATGTATTTTACTTACTTATTTGCTCATTTTCTGTCTCTCCCACCAGCATGCAAAAATCCACAAGGGAACAGCTGAAATTGTTATTTTCTTTGGCACAGAGTAAGGCACTCAGTAAGTATCTTTTGAACAAGGGAAAGGATTTACGGAGGCTCTGCTGTGGCCTGGCCCCGCTGTCAGCAGCACACAGGGGAGCCCATTGAGGAACAGGAGGTGACTGACAAGCACAGGGGGTCACGTGACCCCTAACAGAACCAGTCTTTGCAGCCCGGCAGTCTGAGGCCAAAATAACCAAATAATTCCTTTACGTTTTTATTTGTTTGTTTTTAGAGAAAGGGGAAAGGAAGGAGAAAGAGAGGGAAGAGAAACATCAATGTGTGGTTGCTTCTCATGCACCCCCAGCTGGGGACCTGGGCCACAACCCAGGTATGTGCCCTGACTGGGAATCGAACCTGCGACCCTTTGGTTCCCAGCCCGCCAAGTTTAACAAAATGCTTATAATCGCCAAGCTAGAAATGGAGGTGGTGGTTCTTTTGCTTTTATAATACCCCCAGGGGATTCTGCCCCAGGGCCTTTTCACGTTCTTTTCTTAGTGAGTGAAACACTCTGTACCCTATTTCTCCACTCCCTTCCCTCCCACTCAAGGTCCAGATCAGACCTCACCTTTCCCCTTCTACTTCTCCCAGGCTCCGTTTGCCCAACTCGTACCTCGAAGACCTCATGCTGACTGAGGTTGATGAGTCACAGGAAACAGAACGGGTCAAGGTCCATGATAAACAATAACAGCTTGCAGACAGCGAACTCTGTGCCAGGTGTGTTCTAAGGGCTTGGTGGGTATTGAATCGACGCTCATTCAATTCTCAGAACAACCTGGGAACTAGGTACCATGATTAGCCCTAGTTTACAGACAGTAACACCGAGGCACCGAGAGGCTGAGTACCTTGCCCAATGCTGCCAGTAGGAAGTGGCAGAGAGCTTAGGCAGGCGGGCCCTAGATGGACTCTTTACTCACTCCCACTCACAGGCAGCAGAGTCAGGGAGCCAATAGAGGGAGGCAGGGACTCAGGTACAGAGAGAGCCAGGCCGCATTTATCAGACTGCCACCCTGCCCCGTGGGTCCAGTGTATCAGCTTTTCAAGGGAAATTAAAATCCAGTTGCTATGTGAAATCACTTTTAAATGCTGGAGGGCCACACACATACACAAAGCTATTATGGGCTATGGTGTACAGGAGGTGAACAGAAATTGGGGACAAGAGCTAGGGTTCACCGGTTGAGCAGGGAATGACCCAACTGGAGACACTGCACCCAGATCTCAGATCAAACCTGGAAGATAGCACCCTGGCTTTCCCCACACCGGTGACCCCTGGCCCACTCACTCCCTGGGCCTCCCCCATCTTGCCGTCTACACTTGCTTCTCCGAGCTCCTCCAGCAAGCCGGTGAGCTCCACAATGACGTCTCCAGGCCTGGACCCTCACCCCAGACCCAAGAATCCCACTCAACACGCCCTCCCACCCCACCTGCTCCACCCCAGGGGTCCCCATCCCACACTTGCTAAGCAAATAACAACAAAAATTTCTTTATTTCTGCAGTTCACCCCCATATCTAGTCTATGAGGAAATCCTGACAATTCTACCTTCAGAATGGACCCAGAATCGGACCACTTCTCACCAAATCCACAGCCACCAGGCTGGTCAGATCCAACATCACCTCCTGCCTGGACCACCTACAAAGCCCCCTGATTCAGCCTTGGACCCATCTGTTCCCCAGGCAGCCGCCAGAGGGCGCCAGTTTCCACTCACAAGAGTTCATATTCCCCTTCCAGCTCAGAACCCCTCATGGCTCCGGGCTCACATTCCCTGTCAAAGCAAAGTCCTCTCCGTGGTTTATAAGGCCCCATACATCTGGGTTCTGTTGCCCGCTCTCTGCCCTCACCGAGCGCCCTCTCCTCTGTGCTCACACTGCCTCAGTCGCACTGCCCTTCTGACCTGCACGCCGAGCACCCCCACCCCAGGGCCACTGCACTGGCTGTTTCTCCGCTGGACCACCATTCCCCATAGATCTCCTTGGGGTACAACTCAAACGTCACCTCTCTGAGAAGCCTTCAGACCACCGCACCCTGTCTAAATGAGTGCACAGCCCTGGCCGGGTGGCTCAGTTGGTTGGAGTGTCATCCCAGTACACCAAAAGGCTGGCTGTTCGATTCCCGGTCAGGGCACACATGGGAGGCAACCAATGAATATTTTTCTCTTACATCGACGTTTCTCCCCCCCTCTCTAAAATCAATAAAAACATATGCTCAGGTGAGAATTAAAAAAAAAAAAAAAGCACTGGCTGGTGTGGCTCAGTGGGTTGAGCACCAGCCTGTGAACCAAAAGGTCACCAGTTTGATTCCTGGTCAGGGCACATGCCCGGGTTTCAGACCAGGTCCCCAGGCCAGATCTCCAGGACAGGGTTCTCAAGAAACAACCACACATTGATATTTCTCTCCCTCTATTTCTCCTTCTCTTCCCCTTTCTCTAACAATGAATCAATAAAATCTTTAAAAAGAAGTGCTGTGATAAAAAGAAGCATTCTGTTTATCATAGAGAATGCGTATGTGTGTATAAGTGCCACGTACGCAAGGATGGTCGGGAAAGGCCTTTGGGAGGAGGTGGACCGTGAAGAGAGATGAGAAGCAGGGGGCATTATGGGAAGATTCAGAGGAAGGGTACAGAGCTAGAGGGAGATACTCTTTGTTCCCAACAGCTATTGGTGGGGCGGCAAAGCTGTGACTGCCTATTACTGCCTTGCCCATGTTCTCCACACCCCCACCCACCACCCCAGGAAGATCCTGAAAGGTTCCTGAGAAGGCAGACTATGCACCCACCCAGGCAGCTCTGGTTGGAAGTGGGGATTTGCGCCATTTATTCTCTACAAAGCACAGAGCCCTTGGGGAATAAGACTAAAGCAAGGCACGGAAAACACTGCTCACAGACAAAGCGGATCTAACAATCTCAATGTCAGGAGGCCACCTGGCCCAAACAGCCAGGGCCCCAGCTTTCACCTTGGTCAGGGTGTACGGCCCCAACAGGTTCACTTCCAGCAGGCTCCGAAGTTGCTCTGCAGAGGTCTCCTCAGGCCACTGTGGAGGCGGGTCTAAGGGCAGAGGGTGGGGAGAGAGAGAGAGAGAGTGAAGGAGCCACGTGGGCAGGAGAACCAGAGGGAAATGGGGACAGTAGAGAAGGGTGAGGGGCCCAGGTGGGGCTGGCACACAGCAGGGTTGGGGATGGTGAAAAGGGAGGTTGCACAGCAACTAATAAAGAAAGCAGTGTCAAGGCCAGAAGGACTGGGTTTGAATCTCAGCCCTGCCATTTCCTGGCTGTGCAGTTTTGGGCAAGTCCCTTTGCCTCTCTGTGCCTCAGTCTTCTCATCTGCAGAATGACAATGACCCCTCTTGAGCTTAGAAATGTCACAAGTCAATATTTATGCCTGACACGCAGCACCATAATGTGTTTGTTGAATATGGTTAACCTTGAACACAGGTCTTATGTACACGCAAATTTTTTTCAAAAAATATACAGTCACCCCTCTATATCTGGGATTCATATCTGTAGAATCAACCAACCGCAGATCAAAAACAATAATATTTTAGCCCTGGCTGGCATGGCTCAGTTGACTGAGTGCTGGCCTCCGAAATGCAAGGTCACTGGTTTGGTTTCCAGGCAGGGCACAAGCCTGGGTTGTGGGCCAGGTCCCCAGCAGGGGGCGTGCGAGAGGCAACCACACATCAATGTTTCCCTCTCTTCCTTCTTTCCCCTCTCTCAAAAGCAAGTAAAATCTTTTTTAAAAATAACATATTTTTAGTTTTTCAATGAGTTTACATTCAATATTATTTTGTATTTGTTTCAGGTGCACTGCACAGAACAGGAGCATTTTCCATCCACAGAGGGAACCTGCAGATGCAGAGCGCTGGCTGTGTGCATCGTTCTACTCTATTTTAGACAAGACACTTCAGTGTCTAAGGATTTTGGTCAGCGAATGGGTCCTGGGACCAATCCCCCACAGATACCAAGGGACTGAGGTAAAGTTTGCAGCAGTCAAAATTTCCAAGTGGATTTTCGACTGCACGGGGGTGAGAACCTCTCACCCCCACCTTGCTGGGGGTCAGTGATAAACAGCAGGAACTGAGGGGTGGTTAGAGGGGGAAAAAAATCAACATTTCTAAAAAAAGGAGCTGGAAAGACAGGAGAGTGAGAGAGCATGGGGATGTGCTCATCACTGGTCAGGTATACTTGGTCAGCTCTCAGTTTGCAAGCCGTGATTGGTAAAGTCCCTGTGAACACCAAACTGGTGAGTACTGACCCACAGTCCCTCAGGAAAGTCTGCACGTGTAATATCCCGTCATAATATGAATCTGCTATGGGCTAAATGTTGGTTCCCTCAAAAAGTTCATGTGTGGCCCTGGCCATGCGGCTCAGCTGGTTGGAGCATTGCGCCCGCACAGCAAAAGGCTGTGAGTTCCATTTCCGGTCAGGACACATACCTAGGCTGTGGGTTCAATCCCTGGTAGGGGTGTGGACAGGAGACAATCGAAGGAATAAACATATCCTTGGCTGAGGAATAACAAATTTTGGGGGGGAAATTAAAAAACAACTCATGTATTGAAATCTAATCTTTAAGGTGATGGTGTTTGGAGGCAGGGCCTTTGGGAGGTGATTAGGTCATGAGGTGGAGCCTTCGGGAATGGGATTTGGGCCCTTAGAAAAGACACTCCAGGAGCTCCCTAGCCCCCTCCACTATGTGAGGGCACAAGGAGAAGCTGGCCCTCACCATTTTTTTCTTTAAGATTTCATTTATCTATTTTTAGAGAGAGGAGAAGGTGGAGAGAGATATCAATGTGTGGTTGCCTCTCACACGCCCCCTACTGGGGACCTGGTGCAGGTATGTGCCCTGGCTGAGAAACCAGCAACCCTTCGGTTCGCAGCCCACGCTCAACCCACTGAGTCACACCAGCCAGAGCCTACCAGCCCCTTGATCTTGGACTTCCTAGGCTCCAGATAAAAACTGTGAGAGATAAATCTTTGCTATTTAAGCCACCCAATTGATGGTATTTCTGTTAGAGCAGCCTGAACAAACTGTGACAATGCCTGTCTGTGTGCACACACATATATGTACATACATGTACATACATGGATACCTAACATATATTATAATCTTCAATCCTAAAGACAGCTCACGCTGGTAAACTCTATTTTATTGATTTTTCAAAGAAGTTGATCATCGAGGGCGGCCCCACGCACAGGAACCAGCCTGGTGGTTCAGACCAGTTCAACTGGCCCCACAGCAGGGTTCCTGTGCCGTCCCCTCCCATCTCTGACCTCCGGGCATCTTTCGGCCTGAGAACTGAAACCAGGGCAAAGCGTCCTCTTGCTCAACCTCTTGTGTGACCTGGTTGCAAACAGTTCACCTCTCTGAGCCTTGGTTTGCAAGCATGAGGCATTCTTTTAAGGGGCAGTTGTGAAACTGAGGGCAGTTTCCCTCTGAAGTCACCACACTGAGCCCTGCACGCTGCACGCTGCTAGCACACCTCCACAGTCCTCGGCAACAGAAAGGCCATCAGCCCCACCCAGAAGTTCTGGTCGTGAAGGGCTGACTAGTCTACTTGTTTAATATGCACAACCCTACAGGAAGGACCATCATCACTCTTATTCCCATTTTAGAAATACAGAAACTGCCCCGACTTCTGTGGCTCAGTGGATTGAGCGTGGGCCTGCGAGCCAAAGGGGCGCCAGTTGATTCCCAGTCGGGGCACATGCCTGGTTCAGGACTCCAGTAGGGGGCGCATCAGAGGGAACCACACATCAGTGTTTCTCTCTCCCTCCATCCCCCTCTCTCTAAAAATAAATAAATAAAATCTTTAAAAATGAAATCTAGAAACTGAGGTCTGGAGAGACTGAGGTGTGGAGAGGGGCGCTCACCCCGCCGGCATGGGGGAGAGTAAGCACAGGTGCGGAGGATTCCACGGCCGTCCTGCCCTGTCCGGGAGGACGGAGAGGAGGGTGAGGAAGTCAGGGGCAGAGAAAAGGGGAAACTGAGGCTCAGGAGGAAGGGGTGGGAAGCCAGGGGTTCGGCTGACAGAGGTGGAGAATGGCCCTCCCGCTTCACAACTCACGACGGCCGGCGTTGTTGACCAAGCAATCCAGGCGGCCAAAACGGCGGATGGTCTCCGAAACGAGGGTCTGAGAAGAAAGACGTCTCATGAGCTAGGAGTGTTGGCAGCCGGGGTCCCCAAAAGCAAGGCAGGGAGGGGACAGGAGCTAGAGGAAGTGAGGGACTCCCCCAAGTCACCAGGCACAGCAGGAGAAGAGGAGACAGGAAGCCAGGGCTGCCCAGAGCCCGGAGGTCACATCTGCCGGAGGTCACATCTGCCGTCACTACTCCAGAGCCCCATGGGGGCAGATACCGGTGAGATATTGACTAAAGGGAGGGGTCAGAAACCCTGAGACAGGAGAGGGAAAACTCTTACAGAAAAAGACCTACCCAGTGTGAGGGACACATTTGTTCCACTTATGGGACAGGTGTGAGAAGAATCTTGAAGACATGGGAGATAAAAGAGAACCTACCCAGGAGACCCTGGACCCAGAAGCACAATCAGGGAGAGTCTCGCACAGGGGAAGGAGACTGAGCTGACACCTTTGGGGCCTGAACAGTTTAGCCAGGAGAAGAGGGAAGGGTAGAGGGAACAGCATGTGCAAAAGTCTGGACAAAAACAAAGCTTGGAGAGAAACGGGACTTAGGGAGTGGGAACAGAAAATACGCTTACCCTCATATCTTCCTCCCGAGTCACGTCAGAGAGGATAAAGACAGTTCTAGGAAGCTCCTGCTCCAGGGCCCGGCCCCCCGACTCTGCAGGGAAAAAAAGGCTGGGGGCCTGGACTCCTGGGTCTGGGGGAGGAGGGGCTGGGGGCCTGCACTCCTGGGTCTGGGGGACGAGGGGCTGGGGTTCAGGACTGAGAGAACTTCACTCACCCATTTTGTCACAGATAACCACTTGCGCCCCGCTTTCCGCTGAGAACAAGAACAGGACAGGTTATCCCAGCGGAGACCTTGGTGAAGGCCTCTGATGCCCTCTTGTGGCCATCTTGAGCGGGGCCTATTGCCCAACTCGGCTCTCCTCGTGACCCCAGTCCCCTGAGGACAAAGGGCAGAGGCCTTGACCAATCTGTTCCTCAGCTACTCCAAGTACCTGCTGGGGTTCCTGAGACCCCCTATCGCTGGCTTCCGGAGTAAACCCTAAATCTGCAAGAGCTATGCTCCCAAACCATCCGTTTTGTAGCTTTGGCTGAGACCCAGAAAGAGGGAGGAAGGGAGTTGGAGGCTTGCCAAACAGGCTTCGGGGTACCACTCCCCCCCCTTTCGTCAGCAAAGAGAACTGGATTTTATAAGATAAGATCTTCTTCCCACCCTCGTTAGACCCTGAGGTCGCTCCTCTCCCAGATTCCAGCACGCTACCAGCCAAGACCCCCTCACCGAAGGCTCGCACGATCTGTTCTCCGATGCCGCGTCCGCCCCCGGTCACGATGACCACCTTCCCGGCATAGCGCGATCCCGTAGCCATCCTGTCCGTCGGTCTCTCCCTCTCTGACTCCCTCTGGCACTCCTCCTAGCCCCAAAGTCAGGTGAGGCTGTGGGCTGTAACCTAGGCGCCCAGCCCCTGCGGGGGGCGTTGCCAGAAGTCCAGATACCTGGCAATTAGGCCCCTACCCCCTCCTCCCGGAAATTCAGTAGTCCCACCCACCCCCTTTGCTCGCACGCAGGAGGTCCCTGCCCCTTCTTCCCTGGGGACCCAAGATTCCAGGCCCCGGCTCTGCCCCTTAGAGTTCCCAGTTACACAACCCCAAACAGACAGAGAAAGCTATTAACTAAAAGTTCAAAGTTTTAATCCGAATTTGGACAAGTGCTGGAAAAAACAAACTTTGGCCATAAAATCCCCTCCCTATTTAGACCACGGGAGAGGACCGCCTCACGCCTTCCTGGCCTGGACAGCCTCCAAATCTCCGGGCGGTGCCTCCAGCCCGCGCCCTGGTGTTCCAATTGGCTGCTGCGGTGGAGAGGGTCAGAAGCTGGACTGCAGCAGAGTGACTCGCAAAGGCCAAGCCCCCTCGCCTGGGGTCTGCACTATGGGGGAGCTCCCGGCGTCCCACGTGGGCTCCCAGGAGGCGGGGCCTGTGCCGCGCCCACTACTTCCGCTGGAGGACCCGGTAGAGCGGGAATTGGCCACAGGAGGCGATCTTGGGGGTGAGGTCATCTGGGGCTTGGCGTTTGATGGAGGCGGCGGTACCGGGGGAAGAGGTTCTCCTCCAGAGTCTGAATTTCCACCTGGAGAGGATGAGCGGGGAAGGCGAATGGCAAGCTTTGGGATCTGGGATTGCGGATCCTCAGGCTTTTCCTCTGTTGGACCCGAGACTCCCGTCCTCAGTATATCCTCCCTCAGACCCAGGAGTCCTGGACCCCAACCCCCTCCTGCCTGGGATCTAGAACTCTCAAACGCTCTCAAATGCTGCCCAGCTCTTTTCTCATAAAGACAAAGGATTCCCAGGGGTCCTCAGATCCCTCTCCAGGGGGAACTAGGCCTTTGCCTCCCTCTTTTCCAAAACCCAGGAGCCCGCCCTAGGTCCCCAGCCCTCCTCACCTGTCATCATCCTGTGCCACTGCGAGGCCTCCGCGGCCAGAGCTTGAGAGAGGCTGAGGACGCGCTCCCGATGACCTTCTGATGTCGGTAAATAAGGGGCATTGTTCCTAGGACTAGAAGAAAGATTTGGGGGAGAGGTGCAATTACTCAGTACAGTGATAACCCCAGTGCGTTGCCTGTCCAGGGAGGTGTAGTCCCTAGCACATGTCTCTAAGGGACTTTAAATCTGGTGAGGCCCGAATACACTCTGGGATTTGTAGTGCAGTCTTCGGTAAATCCCACTCCATTTCCTGATGGATGGGCAGAGCTGTTTGGTATCTACCCAGTTTTGCAGTTTGGGGGACCGCTGTCCTCACGAGGGATCTAGGGCTTTTTTTCCCCCCTAAAGATTTTATTTCTGTTTAGACAGAGGGGAAGGGAGGGAGGGAGGAAGAGGGAGAGAAACATCAATGTGTGGTTGCCTTTCATGTGCCCCCTACTGGGGACCTGGCCCGCAACCCAGGCATGTGCCCTGACTGGGAATCAAACTGGTGACCCTTTGGTTCTCAGCCAGTACTCAGTCCACTGAGCTACACCAGACAGAGCCTCAGGAGACATGGATAACAAGGACGCCCCCCTCCCAACTCTGAGAAATTGATTCCCTGCTCCTAGCGGGCAGGTTCCTTACCTGCTCCAGGAGCCAGAGCTTCTGAGCCATTTCTGTGTTCCTGAGTGTCCTAGGACAGGCTGCAAAGGAAACAGGACATTAGTATTCCTCGCCTGGAAGCCCCCGATTCTCACTGTGAGAGCAAAATGAAGGAGGCTCAGGGAGGGGATGAAACCTGCTCACCCCCTCCCCTGGCACTGACCATATTTAACTCCGCATGCAAAGAACCCTTCTCTGCCACAGGACTTACTAGATCAGACTCACAGAGGACCCCCCTCCCACCTTGTTTACCCATAACAAAGCCAGAAACAGACCCTGCAAACCCACTCTTGATCCTGTAAATGATTAGCTGAACTGCTTGTGCCCCCACAACTGGCTGGACAGAGATGAATGTTTGGTGTTCAGCGGACTGAAATGCCCCGATTGCAAAAACAATCCTACCCCTAAAACCACCCCACCTAGGGCGGGTCTAATTCCTCCCTGGGAAAGTAACATGAAACCATCCTGGGTAGACACTCAGCTCTCTGTATCTGGGGCGTCCCCTCACTGCAGTGCATGAAATCAATCTGGCCTGCTCTTCTGCCCCCACCCCCCCCCTTGGACAACACATAGTAACTGAAAAGAAAAATCAGGCTTCCATCCAGACTTTCACCCTGGTGAGGTGGGGACATTGTGCCTGCGCCCCACCCACCCCCCGCAGGTCCCCTCTGAGAAGGGGGACCGGGATACTGACTGCTTCAGCACAGGGACAAGTTAGGGTGAATTTGGAAACCCAGTTCTGGGTAAGAAGGCAGGGAACATCTCCATTTTACAGAGAGGGAAACTGAGGCTCAAACTAGGAGCAGAGGACCCACTAGCACCCCACTGTCTCCGCTCTGCTCCCCTCACCCTTTGGTCCACGTCGGGCTGGTGCCTGGCTGGGGACAGTGTCCTCCCCAGAGTGAGGAGCCGGGGAGAAGCTGGGCGAGGGAGCGGCCGTCCACACTCCTGGTTTCTCCGCATCCTTTCCAGCTGCTCCTGAGCACTCATCCGGGGCCGGGCCAGGGGGCCCTGGGGAGATGAGAAACTGCTCAGGACCCCAGCCCTGGCCTCTGTTCTATCTCCTCCCTGAACCTCCCAGCCTCCAGACTTACCTTTCCAGTAAGTTCGCCACCAGATCTCAAAGGGCTCTCTCTCCACCCGGAGCTGATGCTGTCCCTCCACTGCTCACACCCTCCCCAGGTCCCCAAGCAACCTTGGGACCAAGGCCTTTGAGAACCTGTGAGGTCCGATCCCTACCCACCCCTCTGGCCTCAACTCTATCAGCTGCCCTATTTGAACGTGAAAAACCCCACACTTCCCTCGACCTATCAAGCTTCTTCACACTAGTAGACAGGACTCTGGGATGCTTGTGATCAAAAACAAAAACAAAAACAAGACAGCCCTGGCTGCTGTGGCTCAGTGGATTGAGTGCTGGCCTGTGGACCAAAGGGTCACTGGTTCGATTCCCAGTCAGGGCACATGACTGGGTTGCGGGCCAGGTTTCCAGTAGGGGGCACATGAGAGGCAATCACATATCAAAGTTTCCCTCCCTTTCTTCCTCCCTTCCCTTCTCTAAAAATAAATGAATAAAAATCTTTTTTTTATATATTTTATTTATTTATTTTAAGAGAGGGAAGGGAGGGAGATAGAGAGAGAGAGAGAGAGAGAAACATCAATGTGCGGTTGCTGGGGGTTATGTCCTGCAACCCAGGAATGTACCCTGGCTGGGAATCGAACCTGGGACACTTTGGTTCCCAGCCCACGCTCAATCCACTGAGCTAGGCCAGCCAGGGTTGAATAAAAATCTTTATAAAAAAAAGAAGGCAGCCGGTAGAGAACTCCTCATTGCAGTCTGTATCTACAAACTTCTAAAGAAATAACTTGGATTCATCTGTTTCTTATTGTAGAGCCAATCACTGAAGTTTATCCTGCTATACTGTGATTTGGAGACTCTTCAGTCACATGTCTACCTGTTATACAAGGGAGGGATCCCCCCAAAAGGGAACTATCTTCTGGAGGGCAGGCACTTTGTAGTACAGGCTTCTCCCACTAGGTGAGTGTTGCAGGAACCCATCTGTATCAGTGTGCCAGCTGGCGTTGTTGTGAGAGGCTGCGGCTTCAGTGATTTCTTTTGTTGGAAGAGTCTTTCAACGAGTTTGCCCATTTCATGATGGGTGATTTCCAAGCTCACCTACCCACAAATCTCTGACTGTTGGCATGCCCCCTGTGGCCCACTGTTCCTATTCACCCAATCTTGTCCCGAGCGACTCTTCTTGTTTCCCTGGCTGAAAAAAGTCCTCAGAGGGAAAAGTTTTGCTGATGGAAGAAGGGAAACAAAAAATGGGAGAAACACTAAAAGGAATCCAAATCACAGTTCAAAAACTGTTTTCAGCAATGGAAAAATGTCTCAATAGGTGTACTGCTTCAAATGGAGAGTCCCTTGAAAGTGACTGAAGTTTAAACATACAAGAATAAATACACGAATTTTTAATAAATGAATTCCAGGGTTTGGGGGGTCTCCTCTCTTGTACACGATGGTATACACAGGCCCCTATATATTGGCCTCGAGCCGTTTATTTCTTCATGGCAGGTCAGATCATTGGCCCCGAAGCCTGCCAGGGCCAAAGTCACTTTCACGCATTCATTTGTTGCGAATACAGCAGCCCAGATAGGCAGATAATTTTAGCCATTTAGAGCCCTCCTGCTTTGACTACTCCACGAAGCTGGGCCCCCGCATCTACTAGCCATAGGTATCGTGAACCTGTAGCTAAAAGACCCCAAGCAGCTGCAGTCAAGTCCTCAGGAGTCTGTCCCAGAGACTCCCCGCTGTGCTGAGTGCCCCACCCAGCCCTGTAAGCCCCTTTCTCCGGTCTCCCTCCACACCCCCAGCACCCCCCACCTCCCCTCCCCAACCCCGCCCCGCCCGGAAAACAAAGCTTGGGTACTACTGCCACCTGGCGGTCACATTATTTTTTTTCCTCGAGCAGCTCTGAAATGCCTACACCCCGCTTGGCAGCCAGGGAACTGCGTGGTTGGGGTGCGGAAGAAGCAATTCCCGAGGCAGCCCCAACAATCCACGTTCACTGCACACACCACTGAGGATACAGAAGTTCCCCCCGACCTTCCTATGAAACGGTTGATTGAATGTTTTGCAACATTCAATTTGCAACCATGACAGTAAGTAAGCACTAGAAATTCTCTTCAATCCGTTTGATCGGCGCTTCGCTGAAAGTCAGCCAGCCAATCAGTGGTGGCCCCGCGTTTCTGAAAATCAGCCGATCAGCATCAAACAAAGCTTCCCCAGCTTAAGGGTGACCAATCCTTAAACATTCCTGCTGCGAAAGCCCACCATTGCCAGAACTCCACGCCACAGGCCCACCCTGTGCTTTGCT